AGGAGCCTATATCCTTAATTGTAAAAATAATATTAATGTATGCTCATATTTGGCCAGATTACATAATGGCAAATACTGTATAGGCTAGTAGTGAACTTTCCCATTGACTTACGATGATTATTCCTCGATTTTCTACCCATTACTAAATAGACCGACGGATTTAATTTTTTCTACAAGCTCAGATTGGGTTCCTTCTAGGTTTCGCCTTCTTATTGTTAGATTATACCTTCTTATTCTCAGGTTTTTCAAAGCTGGTAGCTTTCCATGGTTCATAATCTGACTCGGATGAACTGGATTCAGATGAGCTAGTCTCAGAAGAACTACTCTCGGAAGAACTTGATTCAGATGAACTAGTCTCAGAGGAACTACTCTCGGATGATGAACTAGACTCAGAAAAACTTGATTCAGATGAACTAGCCTTGGATGAAGTAGACTTAGGCGGGATATTGGTTAAAGCTGTCAGATGCTTCACACTGAGTGTCTTCGGCTGGTCACTTTCCATTTTGATTATTTATCTGATAAACTTAATAACTTTGACTGAAAAATTATGCAAAGTGCCTGACTCGATCCACTTCAAACTACCATCTGCTTAAATTTTCTTGGTCACGCCTTCCTTCGTTGCTTATGAGGACAGCCCCTCTTACCTCAATTATCTCAACTGAATCAGAATCTTCGGAAGACTCAGATGAATAGGAGAGACTCTTACATTTTTTAATATTTACTGAAGAAGCTATTTTTTGTATTAAGCCGATCACAGTTTCCCTATCCACATATTCATCTAGATCTTTTAATTCATCTTTTAAGGATTTTATATTCCTTTCCAATCCTTTTATCCTCCTTTCTAAAGTGTTATATTGGGAATGATAATCTTCCAATTGTTTTTTTAGCACCCTATTTTTACCAGAAAGCGTACTATATACCTCTGCATTTCGCTCATTTAGTCCAAATGTCTGGGCTAATATCTTTGTATTTTTGATAACTTCCTGCTCGGTAGGCATACTATCAGATGAATGCTTTTGATCAGTTATCATTTTCGTGATATATTATATACGCTATATCTTGCTTCGAACAAAAAAAATATAAATTAAAAAATGATACCCCGATCCTCTAACCAATATATGTGATTAGTTTTCATCGAAGAGCTTGAATACTGTTGTCTGATCATAAGGCTGTTCTCTTTTTCGAAAATTGATTATAGTATAGTTTTACGCTGGGGAGAAATGGTTGTCTGGCGAATAATAATTATATGAGGCTTTAGTCCGAATTAAAAAATAAAACAATATGTTTTAAAATGGAGATTTGGTTACCTATAGTAGGAACAGATTACTTTATTTCTAATATCGGACGTATTAAAAATAAAAATGGCAGGATTTTGGAAGGAAGTATTCATAAAGGACATGGTTATGCACAAACAAAGATTAGTAAAAACAATAATTACACGCCTATTAATATTCACAGACTAGTTGCAGAAGCATTTATTTCTAATCCAGAAAATAAACCTTTTGTTAATCATATTAATGGTATTAAAACTGATAATCGAGTAGATAATTTAGAATGGGTGACCCCCAAAGTAAATGCTAATCATAAAGTATTTCCAAATCCTGGTCGTAGTAGATCTCAAAAAGTTGTGCAAAAAACATTAGATGGAAACGTTATTCAGATTTTGGATTCGGCCAATCATGCAGGTATTACACTTAATATTAATAGAAGAAATATTACTGCATGTTGTAGAGGAAATCAAAATATTGCAGGTAAATGGACTTGGATATATTATGATGATTATATAGAATCTGATCCCAATGAAGAATGGAAGGGGTTGGAGATTGATTCAGAAAAATTCAAAGTATCATTCTTAGGTAGAATCCAATTATTAAATGGAATGATTACACAAGACTCACTAAGCGGGAGGTATTTTCAGGTTGGTAGAAGATATCTAAATTTTCAGGTTCATCACCTAGTAGCATTAGCTTTTTGCCAGAAAAAACAAGGAAAAAAGTATGTAAACTATATTGATGGGAATCCTACTAATAATAAAGATTCGAATCTTGAATGGTGTACACAGAAAGAGAATATGCAACATGCAGTATCTTATAAATTATGGAATGGGTATAAACGTACTGTTAAACAGATTTTTTCTGATGGTTTTACATAAGAATTTTTATTATTAAAAGAGGCAGAGCTTGCTACTGGAATTAAAAGTCAAAATATTGGCGCAGTATGTAAAACTATTCGTTCTCATGCTGAAGGGTATCGCTGGAAATATATTGATTCAGCAATACACAATAAGTGTTGAGATATTTAATTACTATGAATATCTATCAATAAACCACTGAAATTTATGTATAAAAAAATGAAAATAATATACAAGTTCTCTACTAGTATTTTTTAGCTCTCATCGAAAAGCTTGAATGCATTTGCCTAATCATAAGGCTGTCCTCTTTTTCGAAAATTGATTATAGTATAGTTTTGCGCTGGAGAGGTATGGTTATCAGGGCTATGTCGAAGAGCTTGATTAGCAATAGTCATAGCTTCTGATAAATTCTTCGCACTATTTGATATGACCGCAAATACTGCCCCTAAATTGCGCAAATAGCTAGAAAGGAGTGGTTTACCAGTTTCAGAAAGAAATCTTTCTTTTTTCAGAAATGTATTAAACCATTTAACTTCTAGCACTCCTGGATCCCTCAACTGTCCAGAAGAAATTGCATCCTGAATCCAAGTAAGGAGAAGTTTAGCCCGCTCTTCATCTTTTTCTAATGATCTAAATATCCGAGGATTATCCTGTTGGTCTCGGTTTTTTGCGTATCCAGTTACACCTCTATTAGATATACGCAAGTCTTTAATTTCAGTAAGACGGATGCAAAGCATGATCATTAAATCGGCTAGGGCTTGCATATTAGGTATCTTAGATACATTATACAAATCAAGTCTCTCCTTAACCAATTCTAACGAGAAGTGATCTGGAAAATCAATCCCTTCATTTTCACATTGATCCCTATGCTCCTTTTGAATCTTATTAGATGCGCAAGTTATTTCTTCATCTAATGTAGCAGAGATTATTTTTTCTGAGGCATTGAGTTTTCGCAATTCTCTTCGAAGCCTACTAAGACGGGATGTAGTGGCGACAGGGTTAGGGGTATTATAGTTAAAGCCTTGGCTATCACCTTTACTTCTTTTCACCAAGATTATCTCAAACAATACGCTAGGCTATACTTTCGATGGTTTCTCCATCTGAGATGATGTTAGATATTTGGCATATATTAACTTTTCCTGCCTCATCTCTTCTTCTTTGGGGTTACTCGATTTCTACTTTGATAAATTCTCTGATCAGGAACTAATACAAACGCCTGCTCTCTGCTAAAATTATACCCTTTTTGGAAGTGCTGACGACCCTTATCTCTTTTCAGTTTATCTATCAAAAGCTCGAGTAATGCTGGAGTGTGCTGGCTAAGTTCTTCATCACTTATATCTTTACTGAGTTTATGTTCTGCAACGTACTTTGTTACAATCGTGAACATGGCTGTGTGAATATAGGTTGTAAAGTAACTACTAGATTATGCGTAACTGTTAGGTTATACTATATCTGATAAAGTTCAATTCAAAAAATTATTTTGACAATTCACTACCTCATAGTCGGTAGGCAAAAAGATATTATAACTTATGAGGAGGTCTCTTTAAGGCCATCTGCTCCGGCTGGTATATCTTTTATATATATTTGAAAATTGTGGGTAGATAGGATATGCGAAAAAAAATACATAATAATAATTTGGAATTATATATTGCCTAGTTGTAAAGAACGAAAGTCCCATCTCTACTAATATTAATTAACCCACTCTTATTCACTCTTTACCAAAACATACCATTCTCTTGAAGTATGCTTATATTTTTTTGCCATTCCTCATCATCATAAATATACTCTCGGGGTTTTTCCACATCCTCGAACTCCTGGAGATATATTTCTTCGCTTATTAACCTTTCCTTTCTAGTCATGTAAAATAAATTGTTTGGGTCTATCTTATTTTCTCTAGCAAATTCTATGACTTCTGCGTCTGCCATCATCCTGTCTCGATATTCCTGAGATTGGTTGACGTCTTTTTCTGTAATAGTCATAAACTTATCAGAGTCTTCACCATATTCGGTTGCCCATTTTCTGAGTTGCTCTTCTCGCTGTTGTCTAGCCAGAAATGTGAAAGAAACTTTTTTATTGTTAGGTTTGATATGTTTAGAGATCTTGTCAATTACTGGCTCAGATGGATTAGAAGTCTCAGATGTGCCAGATGATGAGACGATGGGGACTTCCAATTATTTTGCTACATCCTTTTCTGGTTGAAGCGGAATTATTTTTAGGGAAATAATTTCTGGCACATTGAATATGGATATGTCTGTGGTCTCATTGGCTAGCAACTCATTTGCCTTTAGCATCTCTGGCTGAGGTATATTGGAAAATTCTTTGATATCGCCTAGGCCAGATTTGCGAAGTTTAGCTATGATCTTGGAGCAGTCAAGAATGTATTGCCATTCCCTTTTTCCACTACCTGTTCGTGCTTGTTTGCTCTCAATACCAATATCTGAGAATTTCTTCTCAACAATGTTATTAAAAAATAGCTTTTCACTATCCTCTCCACACCATTCAAGATACTTCTGATATAATGCTTTTTTACTTAACTCAACTACACTATCCTCAGCTCGAGAAGCAATATAGTCAATTATAAATCAAATGGGATTAGGTAGCTGGTCTCGCATTATATCTGATTTCATTTTAGTTGCAGAAATTTCTTGTGATTCAATATCTGAGATATCAAGACTAAGAAGATATCTTATAACTACTCCTGGTGCATCGGGGTGGTCAAGAACTTTTCCTAGTTGCTTAAAATATGCTGTATTTCCTCTACATCGTGAAGAGATATCAAAACAGACTACATGAGAATCCCCTATATCTATTTTGAGCGGAGCATCCTGGTTGCTTGTAATCATATACCCAGCAAAATCTTTTAGTCATTTAGATTCAAGACCTTTGCACTCTATAGTCACCATTCCTTCTATTATAAGAGATTTGAGATGTCTATTAAATCTATGTCAATCCCCGCTAGACATTCCAGTCTCATTCATAACAATAAGCTTTCGAGCTTGGATGGTACTATTAAATCACTCAAGAATTTTTTCCAAATCTGATATAGCATAATGGAGATGTTCTCCTAGAACTTTGTCACCAATAAAGTCAGTGATAATGTTTTTTCCATACTGCTGTAGTTTAGACTTTAGGACTAAGATTGATCGAGGCTTTTTTTCTGGATTCTGCATTAAATACGCCTACCATTTCGAAAGATATTCGTGAAGCTTCTCATTTTCATCACTAATTATATTCTTCGTATGCCAGAGAATCGGATCCATAATTTCTTTATTAATTTCTGGTGCTGGCTTAGCCAAAAATCCTAGGAAAAGGTTGAAGAAATCTGTAACTAGTTGGGGGTATTTGGTGGGTATGGGAGGAAATTATAATCTTCATAAAGTATTAGACCTTTAGTATCTGCTTGGTCTATCAATGATTTTAACTTTATCGATTCTCCACCATATTCGATTATATTAATCTTGTAATTGGCAAGCTTTAGTTTAGGTCCTATATTAAAGAAAAGGCCATTTTCTGTATCTTTACGCTTAAGAAAACATAATTTTGAAGTTCCTTGCATGCAGGCGACTGTTGCTTGGATAGCTTCATAAACTTCAGCATGGGAGAATTTCCTACCTGAAGTACACATGCGTAATAAGTCCCAAAATACAAATTGATCTTTTGGATTTGTAATTCTGGGT